CTTCATCTGTACTTATATTGTGAAAGTCAGTGTTTTGAACGTCAGTGAAAATATTATGTTCGATATCATGACGGTACACATCGTGTTGATCATCATTGTCAGTTTTGAAATGAGTCGAGGTATCGTAGTGGTACTCCAAATGCTGTTCAGTTGGTTCACTCATCGGAGGCTGAAGGATATTATTATCCACATCAGTCGTTTGCTGGTAGAAGTTTGAATCTGATATGGCATGTTGTTTTTCATCGATGTTTTGGCCAAGATGTTCGGGTACCACTGACTCAACATCGCCGGCTTTATTCGATTGATCTGGTTCATCCTCCTGCATCCAACTTTCAATCAAACTTTGTTCATGCGACACCCCGCTTTTTAAAATATTTTCGTCATACTGATCAGGTTCATTAATCGTTAACAGATTGTCGGGCACATCTGATTTCAATTGATTTACCGATCCGCCTATATATGTCAGATTCTCTATTGGAGATGCTGGATAAGTATCTAATGAAGGTTTAGTGTTATTGATTTGTGTCACAATTGTAAGCAAATTTCCGATAGGATACGGTTGATTAGTCTGCCAATGTGTAGAAGAGTCTATTGTCAGTTCATCGAGTGCCGCTTCATCTGTACTTATATTGTGAAAGTCAGTGTTTTGAACATCAGTGAAAATATTAGGTTCGATATCATGATGGTACACATCGTGTTGATCATCATTGTCAGTTTTGAAATGAGTCGAGGTATCGTAGTGGTACTCCAAATGCTGTTCAGTTGGTTCACTCATCGGAGGCTGAAGGATATTATTATCCACATCAGTCGTTTGCTGGTAGAAGTTTGAATCTGATATGGCATGTTGTTTTTCATCGATGTTTTGGCCAGGATGTTCCGGTACCACTGACTCAACATCGCCGGCTTTATTCGATTGATCTGGTTCATCCTCCTGCATCCAACTTTCAATCACATTTTGTTCATTCGAAACTCGATTTTTCAACATATTTTCATCATTTAAATCAAGTTCATTAATCGTTAACAGATTGTCCGCAACATCTGATTCAAATTGATTTACCGATCTGCCTATATATGTCAGATTCTCTATTGGAGATGCTGGATAAGTATCTAATGAAGGTTTAGTGTTATTGATTTGTGTCACAATTGTAAGCAAATTTCCGATAGGATACGGTTGATTAATCTCGGAATGTGTAGAAGAGTCTATTGTCAATTCATCGAGTGCCGCTTCATCTGTACTTATATTGTGAAAGTCAGTGTTTTGAACGTCAGTGAAAATATTAGGTTCGATATCATGATGGTACACATCGTGTTGATCATCATTGTCAGTTTTGAAATGAGTCGAGGTATCGTAGTGGTACTCCAAATGCTGTTCAGTTGGTTCACTCATCGGAGGCTGAAGGATAGTATTGTCCGACTCAGTCGTTTGTCGGTAGAAGTTTGAATCTGACATGGTATCCTGTTTTTCATCGATGTTTTCGCCAAGATGTTCAGTTACCCAATTTAGATAGCTATCAAGTGAT